GACAGGTGGCAACCCTAGCTACAACACCAGAACTTTGGAGCAACTGTGAAGGAAGATGGAGCAGCAGGGGAGTGCTGGAACAGTGGTGTCACAAGGGGGGTGCAGGGGATGCGGCCCGCACCAGGTAACACCATCAGAGGGGCTCACACACAATGTATGGCTGCCTATACTGTGAGCCAGCACTGTACACTATATAGATATATTTGATGTCCTCTCAATCACTACTAAACTGGCTATGACTGGAAATAATAACAGGCTTGTTGTAGGAAAACAGAGACGAATGTCAGCGGGGCCAGCGTGATCATCAGACTCCAAACTTCTGCAGACTGATGTCCGCGGCCTGGCTGCAAGCTAAATGACAATTTCTTGCATGGATGGCTTGTACCTTTCCCCGCTGATGGAAAAACAACCATTTAGGAAAACATCATTTTTTTCCCCTACACATCACAACTTTGTCATTGTTCTCTTCTGACATTCAGGTAACAGTAAAAGTCTATAAGATACGAAGTAATATTTATACTGTAATTCTAGGGATATTTATCATGTAAGGATGTGTTAGGCACTGTCTGCATGCAGTTTGATCAATCTTTCAGTGTTTGTGGAAAGATTCCTGTGCTTGCTCTGGAGTTCTTGCTCAGTTCACTATTGTACAGGTTGGGTTGTTCAATCTGTATGGGCCATTGTGTGCCCATGTACTGAAGGGAATATATCAAAACTGGAGCAAAGAAAATCTGGAGCAGCTGTGCATGGCAACCAATCGGCTTCTCTCTTTCATTTTCAAATCTTAACTGAACAAACTGAAGAGAGAAGCTGATTGGTTGCTGCAGATTTTGTCTGATCCAGTTTTGATAAATTACCCTCACTGTATATTAAAGTGACATTAAACCCTCAGATTTTTTAACATAAAACAATACTGTAATGTGCGCCTTACTGTAGTCCATGGTAGTTTCCCTTCTCTTTGCTGCTCTTCCTTTTAAATCTGTAGCTCTTCTCATGCTGGGGGAGAACTTCCCTTTGCAGGTGAGTGCCTCTTCCTGTAGTGCTGGCTCAGGTTGTGAACCTTCACACAGACACCATGTATCCATTTCAGAGACAAGGCAGTCTGCTGCAAAACAGAAGTTCTGCCCAGCATGAGAAGAGCTACAGATTTAAAAGGAAGAGCAGCAAAGAGAAGGGAAACCACCATGGACTACAGTAAGGCGCACATTACAGTATTGTTTTATGTTAAAAAATCTGAGGGTTTAATGTCACTTTAATAACCATGGTGAGGTGAATGGATTATGGCTCCTCTGGGGTTGGCTGGGGTTATGTGTTCCATAAAAGTACAATGGAGCGAGAAGTGTGGATCCTTTCTTCCTAGACATGGGCTAAGAGGGTCTGTCCTTCAGCTGCTCACAGGAAGTGTCTGATTTGGTTGCATGGCCCCCATAGGAGTGAAAGGTGTGGATCCTTTGTGCCTAGACATAGGTCTCACCATAGGCCATCATGTGCGCCTGCATGTTTATGACCAAGGTGGGGTAAATGGATTATAACTCCTCTGGGGTAGGGCAGATATAACTGGGGCTATGTGCTTCATAAAACTACAATGGATCAAGATCCTTCTTTCCCAGGCATGGCTTCACATAATAGGCAAAGAGGTTGCCCTGTCTGTCCTTCAGCTGCTCACAGGAAACGTCTGACAAACCTCAAACTCCACTGTGATGATGGTGAGGTCTGACAAACCTCAAACTCTGCTGTATGGTCAGGTTAAGTTCTCGTGTCTGTGCTTAATCAGTACAGGCTAGCTCAGGGTCTTCTGATGAGAAATTATATGGTGTGCTGCTTAAGAGTACACATCTGCAAGGCTGGGGTATTGGGAGGGTTATAACCCTTGTCATCTTGCATTTTGCCATCTGTGTCCCATTGGGGAGATTTCTCTCCACTTCCTGTCCCATAGCCACAAAAGTATGTGAGAGGAACTCCCTCCAAGCACAGGGAAATCCCTGGCGGTCAGCAGGGTTATCAGAACTAGTATCCCCCATTGGAAGATTTCCCATCTATTCCTGTTCTGATGACAACCCAAAATGTGAGATTTTCTTTCATTTTCAGTGATAGCGGTCCCCAGCACAAATAGGGAGGATTAATCGTTCTAACCAAGACACAGGCAGCCATATAAACCTGACAAGTGTTCTAAACCTTCTTCGCTACATCCAAAACGAAAATGTTTTGGCTTCAGTTGCTTTGTAATTTTCATACAGATCCCATAATTCCCACTGTAATGGAGTCACCTTCCTAAAAGGTGGTTATCCTAATGCACGCTTCCCAACTTTCTGAGATGAGAAAGAGGGACACCTTCTAGCACAATGCAGTGGACACACCCCTAGTTATAGGGACCATCAGGACAGGGGCGTCCCAAGGCTGGGTGACACCCAGAGCGGTAACCGAGTGTCCCCCCGCCGAGACGTTACTGCGCATGCGTGATGACGTCATCGCGCACGCGCGGCAGTATTTTGATACCTGCCGGCGGCCATCTTGGTGATGGACGCCGGCAGAGAGAGGAGGGGACAGGCACCCGGCGGGATAAGGTATGCCGCCGGGTCCCCTCCCCTCTCCTGATACTGTCGGGCGTTCGGTCCATGACCGAGCGCCCGACTTTTCAGAGGGGGGTGACACCAAAATGACTGAGTCATTTTGGTGTCACCCCTCCAATGGTGTCACACGGGTGCGGGCCGCACCCCCCTTGTGACGCCACTGCATCAGGAATTTATATGCCAAAAAAGATTGGTTAAACCTGGAATTGTTTTGTTGTTTCACTATTACTTTTCCTTTATACTGGATTACTGAGATGCAAAGAAGATAATTAAGAGATCAGATGAAGGTTTTAGATGCAGAATAACACTCTTGGTAGGTAAATAGAACCTTTTTATAGATATCTGTACATCAGACCAACAAGAGGAACACCTGAGGAGGAAGGAGGGACAGAGGGACTTGATCTAAATGAGGGACAGTTGGAAAGTATGTTGCATGTAGAAGAAGTTACATCCAAAAATGCTGCAATTTTGAACGCACTGCAGGCACATAATGCCTTGCGATCCTGTGCGGGCGATCGCATTGCAGCCGGAGGGCGTGGCTACGGCGCCATTCACATCAATGGACCGCCATGTCCATTGATGTGAATTCGTTAGCGGTTGTCTGTACGCAAATTCGTTAGCGGTCGTCTGTACTCATTTTCTTTTGTGGACGAATTTTCATTGCAGCAAAGTGACAATTAAAAATTTTTTTTTTAATGTCACTTTGCTGCAATGAAACGAACGATACGAACATGAAACGGAAATGGAACATTCGTACAGACTACCTCTAAGCGGGTCACGAAGCCCTTCGTCCAGCGGGTAATGTGATTGTGGGGGGACATTAGAGTGTAAGCTCCTCTGTACAGAGACTGATGTGACTGGGAGGGAGGGTACATTAGAGTGTAAGCTCTTCTGTACAGAGACTGATGTGACTGCGGGGGGACATTAGAGTGTAAGCTCCTCTGACCTCCCAGGAAAACATTCATCAGATATACTGTATATATGTATCTTGTTTAATATCGAACTCATAATTTTGTCCTGGTCAAGGATATGCTGGTTTTCGGATTGTGAAGCCTTCTGCTAAGGAAATATAGACTAACCCAGTTAAATTGCCATGTCTGGCGTGTCCTGCCATTTAGACAGGGCACAGGGGTTTTTGGTCATCAGTGTAGGGTTGCCACCTGTCCAGGATTCACCCGGACAGTCCGGGTTTTGAATGCTGTGTCCGGGTTTCATGGCAGCAGAAACCCGGACATAAGATATCAGGCAGACAGGGGCAACCAAAACTAAGATAGGGGCTACTGGCCCCCTACTGAAAATAGCCTCAGCTTTGATATTCACATATGAATGGGTGGTGCTACTTACATATGAATAAGCCACGACTCATTCTTCCAAGAAAAAAATGTCCACGCGTCGCTAGAGTGTTCGAGTTTCACTTGAATAAAGGGTGGCAACCCTACATCAGTGGCCCCATTCAGGAGATTTTTCCTAAGTTTCATTCCCAGTGACTGTGTTGTCACCAGGACAGGAAGTGAAGGGAAATCCCTGTAATGGCAATAAAATAAAAAAACACATTTCATTAGTAGCCTGGGGAAAAGCTAGAACCTGTTTTAGCTTTATGTGGCTTTATGCATCAAAAAAAAAAGTCCAGATGTTCTATTCTAAGAAAAAAAAAGGTTTAGGCTACAAATACACTTCTGTATCATATCTTCTTCTGATTATAGAAAAAGTTCCGTTTAACACCGCTTATTCAGCACAGTCCTGCCACTGAGTACATACAGAGCAGTGCATCACAATGTACGTACAGCGCACAGGCAGTGCTCCTCACATCCGCTAGGTGGCAGTAGAGACAACTGACTGGGCGATGCCAGAAAGAAAGATGGCGAAAACCACGTGATGATGAGCATATTTCTTAACGACGGAGAGCGTCTATGGAACGCATACAGTACAGTCACGTGACAAGGAGTGTGTCTTTTAAGGCGAGTCGCGTGGCTGTGACGTTCTCCAAACGTCCTTTCGTGCTCAGTGGAGTTTGAAGGCTGCTGTCATGTCTGCTCTCAGGGTGACCAGGGTAAGCCGTGAGTGTGACCTGGGCAAGTCCTGTGAGGGTGGGTGATGGCCTCTCACTCCTGAAGGTGAAAGACACCTCTATGCTACGGCCATGTTTGTTTACTTCACGAAGTGGGTAATCCCTGTCACTCACACCGAGGAATCACCGTGCCA